GAAACTTGATAGATCAAATAAATTTAGCCTTAAAGTTTCAATCTGCCTACATGAGGATTAAGGCCAAGCTGGATATGTGTTCAATCTGATATGATTTTTCCATATGAATTGAGATTTACACACCCCTAATAATGATACTAATATATCAAACTTCTTATCTATACTAGTTTAACTTCCACCAAAATGTGTAGGCTTTCTTATACAAAAGCCAAGTGCACCCCTTGCATAGAAGCCAACTGCTTCTCTATCATAAAAGCTTCTATGGAAGACATGTATGGATTGTGCAATCTCAATTACTCAAACATTCACTTATTAACTGATACTACTTGATTTTAGAGTACCTAATTAGATAATACCTTATTTTTTATGGCTTTTAATAAACCAGTTAGCCAATACATAATGATACTTAGCTGCTAGTTACTCTATCAAGTAGCTCCCTAATGCTATCTTATTACTAGTTTTATCGTAAATTATTAAATTATTCTAGGAAATTTAACATTTTTACAAATTAATACTTACTATTTTTTGTTCCAATTTGATCTCTTATTATTTGTTTCAATTTTTTTTTTATTTCTAGATGAAAAACAAATAAAATGATTAAGTCATATAGATATTTTTAAAAACATATCGCAAAAATAAATTTTACTAACAAATTAATAAAAATAATTTAATACTCTTTTAATTTTTTCTGTTAGGAAATGAAATGAATTGAATGTTTGAGAAAAAAAAATCAAATTATAGAAAAAAAGTAAGAAGTAAACTATAATAAGTGTCAAACTTCATAAACTAATATGACAATTTTTTCTTTTATCTAATACTATATAATTATCATATACCACACAAAAAAAACTTAATTTTACGTAATCGACGAGCATTAGGTTAGAAATAATTATTTTGACAGATAACATTTACTTTTTTTTTTTTACATTTTTGAAGTATAAAAAAGTTCATATTTTCATATTTGGCACGCAATATCTTTATTCTCATATGCTCTATTCTTCCACAGTTTTTAAGTCTACTTGAAAATTATGAAATCTTGCTTTCGAGACCTTTTCCAAAGAGTGCATTATGGTGTTGATAAAAATTGGTGAGAAGTAGTTCTCGAAGCCAAAAGATTTCCCAATACACATTTTTAAGTGTACTGTAACATATGTGAATTTTATTATAAACAAATATCAAAACTTATATCTCTATTTTAAATTAAGACACAAATAACTATAGAATCAAAATTCATCGATGACTCCCTTATACTAAAGTCAAGAAGTTTCTTAAAGAAATACTACGTAGAAAATTATTAGGTGATACATAATGCCACATTACTTCCAAGCATTTTGTCAAGTAATAGCTAATTTTATTGGCTATTTATTTTGTCACACTAATTTGGTCAAATTTAGTATCTCAACCAATAGTGTTAGGGGTTTAGAGGTGTATTTATTTAATTCCATATATCATATTCAAAATATTGAGGACCAAATATAGTCTTTTATATTTTAGGCCCATAATGTTCTAACCCAACCCACATATTTCATTTTTAGATACTTAATATATATATATATATGACATTAAAATTAGTGTCTCCTAGTTGTATGTAAAAGCTTATCAATTGAGTAATATAACAAACTAATTAAAATTAACAATAATATGATCTCTAACATAAGATTAGTGTATATGAATAAAAAAAATATTTAATATTTTTAAAATGGTGGATTAATTAAATGGACTTAAAAAAAATGAATATTTTGTTTGGATTTTAATCTCAAATAAGTTAATAAACTTAAATTATCATATTCAACTATATTGTTTAGAAGTTTACACCATCAAATAAAGAAATAAAAATTTAACTATTTAACTAAATGATAATTAATTAATTAATACAATTTTATTATATCGTAAATTCTATTAATCCTCAAAAACTAAAATGTTCACATTGTCCGCACCAAAGATATTTATATATATGTATATATTTATATATTTTAAAATATTATATATATTTAAAATATTATGTTAACCAAATATAAATTTTTTTTTTCTCTAATTCTATTTTTTCCTTGGAGAAATTCGCTAATACGCTCCAAAAGTATTGCCGTTTAACCCTTCCCTTTTATTTTTAATTTCTTTCTGCATCTTTCCGTCTCTCGCAGCTCGCAATCGATCCAAGTCTGCGGTTGATTCAAGGTGCCCGCGGAGTCTGCCGTCCTTGCCGCCATTCGCCGCCACTCGCAGCTGGCCTGCTGTCACTGGAGCCTCATCGTTCCTTCTAGCAGTTCGCTGCAACTCAACTCCGCAGTTCTGGTATTTGCTTAAACCATAAAGTTGAAGATTCATCTATTTTCTTTCCCTCTCAATCCATACGGTGACAGTTTGCAATTTCTAATCCTCACTTGTTGAACATAATTGCGGTTGTTTTCGTTATGATGTTTTTTATTTAAATGCATAAAACGATCTTTATCATTGTCTTGGTTTACAAATTTCCTTCTTCCTCTATGATAATGAGCGTGGGCAATAATACAATCGGGAGTGTATTAGTAGGAATTTCAGAAATTTAGAGGAGTTTTGGAGAAGGGATGACGATTACAAAAACAAATACGAACAAGAGGTTTTATTGTGCCTGCCATTGGTTGTTGGTTTCCTTTAGTAAGCTTCTTACTGGAAATCATTTTTTATAATATCAAATTGTCCTCCATTTAGGCCACTTGTCCTCAAGGTTGGAAGCTCTTCAAAATATGCCAACAGAATATTAATCCTGTTTTTCTCTATTTAACAGTTTAGGGAATTTGAGATAGTGCTTCTTTACAAGCCATTTGACGACCTACATTAAATTTGACTTAGAATTCATTCTTTCCCTTTCTGCCTTAAGTATTACAAATTATGTGCCAATTATGATATGTCATAATTCAAACTATGCTTCTATCTCTTGGATATAGGGTTCTCTATAGGCACATTTGAATAAGGCGCCAATTTCAAAAAATAAATAGTAGTTTTGGATAAAGAAATTAATAAATATATGTTTACAGATGTTTTGTAACATATTGTTATTTACTTTGTTAAGTTGAGGAGGATATTGCAAGGTTAAGGAAGTAAACTGGTTACATAAGAAAAAAAAGAATGTAAAAAAAAGTTATGAATAAGGTGTTTATTTTTTCTTTTTGAAAACCACTGTTAGAAAATAAGCTTCCTGTTCTTTTTGTTACTAAATGTGAAAACTGGAGTTGAGTATTTAAAGCTGCTTATAAACAGAAAATAAGGAATCCCAAGACACTTTCCTAGTATAATTCTACGGCTACATTCATCAAGCTCTATATTAACATTCAGCTACTACAGTTCTATTTCGCTGAATCACAAAAGTGTAGCATCAAATTTGTTATTGGAAAATATTATGTGTGGCCTAGTGTTTCTTCTATTCTTGCACCCTGTATGTGTTTCACAAACCACTGAATGCATTTTTTTATATTTAAGTAGTATTTTCCTCAGGCTATTCAGCTTCTGCATATCAAAGGACATTTTGGTAAGCTTCAATAAATCTCAAACCCATCCTCCTAATATTATCACTACTTTATGCAAATATTTTTAGTTGTTTAATTTCAAACAAGCAAACATATATTGCATGGGTGACTGTTTTGCTTACAGACTTCCTAATGTGCTTAATTGCTCTTGTCTCAGTATTTTCTAATGTCTAATTTTTTCTCCTCGGTTTTCCAAGCCAAATGCTTCTTATTTTAGATTTTTATCTTCTTTGGACCCGTGTTTCACAAAGTGTGGATTATTCTTTGATTTAAGACAGGACTTCATTGGCTAACTCCGTTCTACTGCATTTAAGAACTCAGCGATAATATAGTAACTCAGGGACCTTGAATTCTTTCGGCAGGTACTTGGAGTATGTGAAGTGTGGAACAATGGCAGATTCAAGCCCATGCAGCAGAGTCAGATGCCATCACTGTGCAGGCCCTCTTTCAAAGGAGATGGTATCTACCCACCTTCTTGAATTCCACATGCAATATTATACACATAGATATAGATGTGCATATCTATATAGTGTCACTAATTTTTGTGCTTGTTATGATAATGCAAAATCGTGCTGCTCTGTGTTTTTTTAACTGCTTTTGATTGGTTTCCAATTTGTTGCAGGAAACTAGTGAATGGACTGTTGCTCCGCTTGTCAGGGATAGCTTTTCTATGGTATCTTCTTCCTCTCCGCCCCTCCCCAGTTTGTTGTATTTGGTCCTTTTTTTCCCCATTTTTTGAGAAGTTAATTTATTTGGGAACTTGATTCGAAGTGAGTTCTTCGGATTTGGTTGATCTATAGAAACTGGCTTGTACTGTTAGTGCCTTTTTCAATAGCTGAAATTTTCATATTATATCTTGGTGTTTCTATAGCTTAATTTTGAAGTTTGGGCAATCTTGAAGATTTTTCTAAGGTTTTCTTAAATTAGTTCAGATTGCATAGAATAATAACTTAATTAGTTCTGTATTATGGTATCTTTTCACATTTCATTTTTTGGTCCTTAGCCTACAGCGTTATGTGGGCCTTAGCCTACAGCGTTATGTGGGTGTGCTGGGTAATGTCTGGTTGAGGTAGAGAAGAGATTGGCATGGAGAGGCATTCATTGGGATAAGGTTCCAAAAAGAATTTAGACCTCGTCCCTTCTGGCTACCTTATGGGTTATCTGGAAGAAGAGACACAGGAGGACTTTTTTAAAGAATTACGGATAGTTGATTCCAGATCCTAGTTTTTTTTTTATTAACAGTCATCGTTTTTATTCTTTTCAGAATTTAGGGCATTTGATTGACGTATTGATAGATTTGTAAAGTTTTGTATGCAGATTGCACTCTCTTGCTGTGTAGACACACACACACACACACACACACTATAACTTTCACTTTAAAAAAAAAAGTGGGTTTTTTAATTTTTGCTGCATATCTTAGTAGTTGGTCCTGAAGTTGGTGTTTTTTGTTGTGCATTTAGATTGGTTCTGCAGTTGGTGGAACAACAAGTGCATTTTATGGATTCAATAAAGGTGTGTGTTCCATCACTTTCTTTCTCTAGTAATATGGTTCACCTTTTTATAATTTTAGTCTATTAATAATTCTTTTAACCTGCTAATTAAGTATAGTTGGAAAAAATATTTCATTCAGAAACAATTTTCTGGAAAAAAAATTGGGACACAAATGGAAGGGGGAAAAAACTCAGGTAATAGCAAAAATGAAATATTGGGAGATAACAGGACAATCTTGAGCAGAGCTATCTATATGGCAGCAAGCTAACTTCAACTTGCTCGTAATGATGTCTGATACATTTGTTGTTGTATGAAATTAATATTGTTTATTGTTATATTTCTTATTTCAACAGTTCTTCTGATGTCTGGTACATTTACCTTTTTTTTTTCACTTTTATGAAATTTCTTTCCATGAAGTATTTTTTTCTCAGGCAGAGATCCATAATTGGTCGAAGGATTCTGTATAAGTCTGAGATTGCTTGGTATGCAAAGCTTATCCTATCCGTTTTAACGTGTACTTTTTGATGCAGTGATGCCAATAGTCCAGAGGTCAATAAAAGGACCCATGTGGTTGCATTTCCTCATTGGGGTAAGTTTCTTTTTTGATAGAATATTTGTGTAAGTTTCTTCTCAAGCTAGATATCGTGGGTTGTCATCAAATTATGTTATTCATTTGATTTTTGATTTTTTTAAGAAGTAAAAGAAATACCGAAACAAGCCACCAAGGGTTCCCACCCATGTACGAGAGAGGAAAAAAAAGAACAATGCAAAAAAGATTAATCAAAATGTCAACAAGGTCCTCTAGATCCTCTCTATTAAGGAGGGGGACCTTTAAACAAAATTACATAATGTCTGAAACCAGGGTTCGCTAATGTTAGAAATATTAGATACAAGACCCTCAATAATCCTCTTGTGCCATATTAAAAAAAACCCTCAATAATCCTCCTATTCCTTTTGCTTTGCATAATCCAAAAAATGGAATAAGGAATAAGAGTGATGATGTCTTCTTGCTTTTGATTGTATAATACCATCCAAGGAGGAGCTTGGTAGAAAAAGTAAGCCTACTTACCACCCACTGGATGCAATAAGCTTTTAACTGAAGTCCATACCCTTCTCCCTTTCTAGCACCATAAGAGAAGATGGTTGGAGGATTTCTTATCATGAAGGCAAAGTGGGCAACATTTTTTTGAAAGAAAAAAAGTAAATACTAAACAGGCACCAAGGAGGTGTTGGCCGTACAAAAGAAGAAAATATTTACAAATCAGTCAAAATATCTATCTGGTCCCTTAAATCTTCCTAAGGAGAGAGAGGATGTTCTGAAATGAAAAAGACGAAATCTTAAGAATTTGAGTAGAACTCTTAGATGGACTTACAAACATCTCTATTTTGATTATATCTTAGTGCCTATAGATAGGGTTCTCTAGCTTAGTTATTAGGTATACTATTCATGTAATTATTATACAAATATTGAGTTATTGAGTTGATTGTAAAAATCCAAGATCTCCAATTTCAGTTCTCAGTGAATTTCCTCAAAGTATTATGCACAAGTTCTATTTGTCCTACATCAATCAGCATCATTCAATTATTTATACAAGTACCATATACCGGTTATTCATAGAACTAAATAAGGATTAAGA